GGGGAGGGGAGGGGAGGGGAGGGCTGAGCTGGGAAGGAGGGGAGGGCTGCTAAGGGCGCACTGTTAGTCTGAAATGAAAAGTACTCTGCACCCCCCCTAACCACCACCCACATGTCTGAGAGGGCTCCTGATGGAGTCTTACCAGCCCAGGCTGTTACGCATCCCAAGCCCGCCAGCGCCGTGGCTCACGCCTGCCATCCCAGCTACTCAGGAGGCTGAGATCTGAGGATGGCGGTTCAAAGCCAGCCTGGGCAGGAAAGTCCATGAGATTCTTATCTCTAATAAACTACTCAGAAAAAGCTGGAAGTGGTGCTGTGGCTCAAGTGGTAGAGTGCTAGCCTTGAGCACAAGAGGCTCAGGGACAGTGCCAGGGGCCTGAGTTCAAGCCCAGGACTGGCAAAACAAAAAAAAAAAATCCCGAGCTGGATGTAATGTATCTGTAGATATTTGTACGCACGTATCTGCAGTCCCAGCACATGGGAGGGAGGGAGGCTGGGGCAAGAGATCATGATGTCAAGGCCAGCACGACCTTCCTGAAGAGATGCTACCTGAAAAGCTCAACTCTTGCCAGGCACTGGTGACTCCCATCCATAATCCCAGTTACTCAGAAGGTGACAGCTGAGGATCACGGTCCAAAGCCAGTCTGGGCAGAAAAGTCTGAGACCCCATTTCCAAAAAATGACCGGCAAAAATCATGACTGGAGTGAGGGAATCAGCCAAGCAAGCAGGCCAGCAAGCTAGGCGGCGCTCTGCGTTCCAACCACAGGGCTCCCCCCCAAAAACAAAACCCAACAGAGATCCTGTGATGAGAGGGGCTCAGGCTGGTCCTCACCTGCTCTCGGGTGGGGGACAGGTGTCTGGGGTGGGGTGGGCGCCCGCCGGGGCCTGTATGCCTGGCTGTGTGTCTGGCTGTGTGCCCGGCTGTATGCCCGGCTGTGTGTCCGGCTGTGTGCCCGGCTGTGTGTCCGGCTGTGTGTCTGGCTGTATGCCCGGCTTTGTCTGGCTGTGTGCCCGGCTGTGTGCCCGGCTGTGTGCCCGGCTGTGTGCCCGGCTGTGTGCCCAGCTGTGTGCCCGGCTGTGTGCCCGGCTGTGTGTCCGGCTGTGTCTGGCTGTGTGTCCGGCTGTGTGCCCGGCTGTGTGTCCGGCTGTGCCTGGCTGTGTGTCCAGCTGTGTGTCCGGCTGTGCCTGGCTATGTGTCCGGCTGTGTGTCCGGCTGTGTCTGGCTGTGTGCCCAGCTGTGTGGCCACAGGAGATAGCATCACTCGTCTGGCCCGAGACTCAGATCTGTGTTTTGACATTTGACCTTCACAACAAGTGCTGGCTGGGGAAACTGAGGCGGCCAGGCCTGCCCGAGGGGGGGGTGTGAGGTGGGGTGGGAAGGACGGGAGGGGCACCTGCACCCACCTGCAGGTACTCGGTGAAGAAGGACCCCAGCTCCGTCTTCAGCAGCTGCCTGTGGGGGAGCGAGATGGCGGTGAGCGGGGCCTCGCGCTGGGGGCCTGGCGGGCAAGCCCGTGGGCACAGGACGGTGAAGTACGGGACCCCCGGCAGGCAGTGTCAACCGTGGCTCCACCCGCCCGATGCCTGCCCCAGTGCCCCGTTCCCCCTCCCCAGGGCAGCTCCGTCTCTTCACACACACGCAGAGAGGCTCAGAGAGGTCAAGTGGCTGGTCCAAGGGCACACAGCACACAGGGGGGGAGTACTAGTTCCAGCCCAACAGTGGCCTCAGTGGGGGCAGTGGAGCAGGCGCGCGGCATGGAGGAAGTGTGCCCCCGTCCTCCCCACCCTCTCCGGGGAGGACACGGGTTGTCCATGGACAGCTGTCCCAGTGGAGTCCCCTCCAGGTCAGCTCGGCCGCCCAGGAAGGCCTCGGGCGGGAGGAAGGTGACCCCCAGCCCGTGCAGTCAGCTAGGCCGAGGCTGGACTCCACCCTCCAGTGCCAGACTGCCACTCCGACCGCTGCCGTGAGACAGCCCCCAGCCCGGGACGGTCTGGGGGGAAACTGAGGCTCCGGGAGGGTCTCTGAGGAGGCCTAAGGTTGGACCAGGGAGCCCAGGGGTAGCTCCATTGTCCTGCCGGGCGCCGTGGCTCACGCCTGCAATCCCCGCTACTCAGGAGCTGAGATCTGAGGATGGAGGTCTGATGGCAGGAACATCCCTGACCCTCTCCCTTATCACCAGTGAACCGCCCCAAAGCCAGAGGTGGAGCTGTGGTCCACGTGGTAGAGCGCCAGGCTGAAGTTAAAAGCTACGGGTGCCCAGGGCCTGAGCTCAAGAGGAACCAGCACAACAAAACAAGCATGAGCGGCCGTCCTGCGGGCCGGGGCCGCCTCGGGCCTGGTGCTCAAGGCCAGCCAGGCCACCAAGTGGGAACGGGGCTCAGACAAGCCCGGAAGCCTCCCTGGAAGGGAGTGGTAGACAGACAAGGGGAACCGAGCGGATGAGCCGGGCCCGCGCGGGCGGAGAGGGACGATGAAGCCCCCCGCATGTCACGTCCACCGCCGCGCAGGTCCCCCAGCCCCAAACCAGGCACCCTTCCTAGCGCCACCGCAAACGGTCCTTGCCTCTGACACCTGGGGTGCCCCAAGCCAGCCTGCGCGCGCTGAGGGGGTGAAGGGCCGCCGCCTCCAGCAGGCGGTGGACCCCAGGGCCTCAGAGCGTGCTGAGGGGGTGAAGGGCCGCCGCCTCCAGCAGGCGGTGGACCCCGGGGCCTCAGAGCGCAGCCTTACCATTAACCTGTGCTCGCTTTGCCCAGCAAGGGAAGGGGTTTCCTGCTTATTTTTCTGGCTATTTCTATGACCCCAGGACAGGATGCTGTGGGTCAGGGCTGGAAGGAAACCGGTTACACCTCCTTGTACCTGCTGTGTGACCCGGGGAAAGAAGCTCGACCACTCTGAACTCCGGGTAGCCACCCTCCCGGCTGCTGTGGCCTGGCTGCCAGCGGCGGCCCCAGGGCTGCCCAGTGTGCCGGGTCCTCGGG